AGTGGAGGATTCTGGAATAGTCTGACGGTCATCTTGAATAGGAAAAACTGGATCTTCATCATTTATGTCGTCTTCAAAGTCAAAGTAAAGCCCAGTTGACTCGTCAATATTATCAACGTCCTCTCCAAAATCTTGCTCTCCACCCAGCACAGTAGAAAATACATCATTGAAACCTACATTGGCAGACAACTCCAATAACAACCTTGTCCCTACTGTGGAGTCCGCTGGCTTTTCAACCATTGGCTCGATCATAGGACTTGTCTCCATTCCTTTTTCATCTTCTATAATTATAGCCTCAATTATTCTTTCCCGAACAGACTCCGGGGCAGAAGCTTCAGCAATCACATCTTGAGCAGCTGGCTCACTTTCAACCCTTGCAGCTTGTTCAGATGTCTCAGCCACTCTCTGTCTCTTCCTCTCCCCCTCATGATGATCTAGATCATCCGGATCATCATGCCTTCTTTTATGAGAGGTGGCCTGAGATCTGCACGTTTCTTCTAAAGTAGACACCCGTTCAACAAGGGCATCCATTGAACTTTTTAAGATCTTGGGTTTTGGATGTGATTAACTTGCTAACTTTTGTGAAGCTAGAAGTAACCACATCTTGAAAGGCCAAAAACTCTAAGGCTCTAACGAAAGGGTTAACATCCAATTGTTGTCTTAAGAGTTCAACCAAGTTTGCATCTTCAGCGTCAGGATTTTGAGATGCCATCAATTTTGCGTACAGCAGCGATTTAAGTTCATCCATCGTTTGCTCTTGTATCGACGGCTCAGGTACAGGCGATGGTGATGGCGCAGACGGTTGCTCTTCCGTGACTTGTTCTTTCCCCTTCAGAAGTCTTTTTAGACTTGCGATCTGTGCATCCATATTTTCTTGAACAGCCTTTAGGGCGCCATCCAAATACTCCCGTGACACAAAGTCTGGTAAGCTAACACCTGGATCACTTAGATTACCAGTTGAAACAACAGTTGAATAAACTGTTGTGCCTACGTTTAATGTTGGCATGATGGTAGCATTGGTAGGACTTCCAACCTGTCCTTGTGAAATGTCAAATGACAACTCTGGTCGTTCCAACAAGTTCACTAAGAACTGCACTTGGAGCAACAGATGCTCTAGACTCGTGTGTACCTATGTGTATAGGCGCTAGACTCGAGGTGCACATAATCGATGTCGTAGGCTGGGGCAGCGGCCTACTTGTTTCAATAACTACGTTCTCCGAATGAGAAGTAGTTAGCGAATGTGCTATATCCCCGTGTTCAATTGAAACAACTGGTTGTTGAGAACCAGTTGAGTGGATGGGTGGGGTGTGCATTTGCATAGCTGGGCTAGCTATGTCTTGTTCAATACCAACATTCAACGAATGAATGTCAGTAGTAGATGTGGGTGCCCGGCTATGTGTTTCGGCTAATGATATTCTTTTTGTGCTCCACTCACACCCTCACCATGTTCTTCGTCCCTTTCACACATCCTCTCAACATTTTCAACTGTATCTCCCTCATCTTCAACACCTATTAGAATACGATCATATTCGTCAAATTGAGCTCCATATTCTTCAACATCAAACGACAATGAATGTAGACTTGGACAAGTCTGTTGAGCAGGAATTTCTGGAAATATGTCGTTAATATCATCAACCAATGTTCCGACTGGAATATTCTGTGAATGAATGGTTTGAGCATTATTGTCAGCACCATCATCATCATTATTGTCATCATCCCCATTATGATCACCAAGAGCCGCCTGATTATCAGTTTCAGTATCTTCTGAACTAGAAGAAGTTGTGGAAGTTGAAGTACTATTAGTTGAAGTACTTTGCTGATCAGACGCTCCCCCCTCCGGTTCACCCCTCTCTATTACATTTTCTCTCAGCACACTGCCCTGTTCAAGTAACCCTGTTCCTGAACTCTCTCATCTATATCTAACCTTTCTCGCCCATCTGACGCATGGGGTGATCCTTGGGTAAGTTCAACCGGTTCTGGTTGAACTATAGGATCTATAACTCTCCTATAGTCTATCACACATTGAGCAGTCTGATCAGCTATGGCAAAAAGCTCTGGTGGTATTTCCATAATAGAATCCAAGTCCTCAACCTCTGTATGCTGCCGAATTCTAGACATAATGAATGTCGGCCCT